TCGTCGTCTCGTCACTAAGTTTGCAGCAATCCTGACAGAGGTTTGACTGACTGGACCCTAATTTGAAGAGTTCCTGTTCTTTTTTATCATTGTCGATTGATCACTATCAATTATCTTCGTTGTAAACTAGAGATCTGAACGTCTTTGATCGTTATCAACCCTCTTGCCTCGGTCTTCGTAGCATTCTGTAGAGGCTCGTAGTGTTGAGTGGATCACCCATCACTCTTCATTACTGTAGGATTGCGGTATTAACTTTTACCGCACACTGCCATTGTAATACATACTCTAATACATTTATGTTTTCACATTAGCTGGTTCCAATACCTAAGTCTTTGAGGCTTCCAAATGGTGCCTGTTGTAGTTACATTTTTGAGGAGCCTTGAGAAAACGGTTACTACGGTATATCTAATGAAGTGCAGATTTCAAATCAAAAGCCAGCGATTCTGATTACCTTGTAAATGAGACATGTGGTTATTTAGCTTGCAACTCTATTCAGACTTATTGCCTAGTCCTACAGTAATGACAAGCAAATGATGTTCCGCTTCAAACTGTAAATCAATTTGAAGGCAGCGTTCAGGCAAAATCTACCTGCCCCCCCCCCCCCCCCCCGATTAGTCCTAGTCCGCATGCAGGCCTCAAAAGAGGGACATCCATTAGTCCGGTCTTTTGATGTGGTCTCTGAATGATGGAGAAAATGGACCTGGTATCCACAAAAGTGCTGTCAAGCCACGCCTCCCCTATTAAGCTCCGCCTACCCAGGTGCTGCAAATCGTTTGTACTTTCAGATTAGATGCTCCCAGTAATGGATTTTTTGAACTTTAACTTTAATCAGGGCCACGGAAAGGCCGAGAATGACAAAGACATGGAAGGCGAAATTGGGTTTGTCTTCAACGCCGGCTCCACTAGTTACCCTAATTTAACGTGTATAGGATGGGGGGGGGTTTCTAAAATCGAGCGGCACAGACACGTCGAGGGATTTCGCGATCAAAAAATATTCACAGTGCTGCATATTGCCTGAGAGTATCGTGCGGCATAAGTCTCGTTTTCCGAAACACAACGAGGCGGCTGAGCGGCATGTTTGAAAAACCGAAAAAGCTGCGACATTTACGCGTGAAATTAGGATACATAAATTTGATAAAGATATTAACGCAAACAAAATCTTTTTGTAAAGTTTTTCGTACACTTATTTCCTGCTCGCCGAGCAGAGCGCAATCTTCTCATTCCATTCACGGCGCTGTGGGAGGTTGATTGTGTATGGTTGCTAGCAGAATGTGTAATTTTGCATGAAAAAGTTCACAAAAATAATTGCTTGCAATTTGGCTCTTCATGTTTGCCAAACTTTAGGCAGTTTTTCAGTGGCTTGATCTGTTGAAAATCTAGTTTGTAATTTTTTGTAGTATTTTACTTCATTACTATAAACTCGTTTTTAAATCATGCTTGCGTTGCTCACAACATAACTTGCTGCTTATTATTAATTTTTTTTCATCCTAGTCTCCTAATAAGTCATATGTAATGAAGGACAACGCGCTGGGCATCGCAAAATTGACTTTACGGTCTGAGCCAAAAAAGGGCAATTCGTAAACAGATCGCTAAGCTACAATTGTCAAATATCGTAATGCATGAACCAACATCAATCATCTATCCGATGTTGCCTACGGCCAATGCTTACCACGTCTAGGACTCATATCAGGCATGAGGGATGATCAGAAATCAGAAGGAAATTCTCGCTACGACGCTGTTGATGACGTAATCACTGGAAACGAGACACGGTCGAGAAGCCTTCAGAGTTGTCCGCTGCCAGCGCTGTGCCAAAGCAGTGTCTGCTCCATAGACGTGCTAGATTCGTGCGGGAATCCACATAAGTACACTTATCAACCAAATGGCCGACAAAGTTTCGGTATGGCGCTGGCACAGCGTTGGAACAACGCTGAAGCGGCGCTGGAGCGGCGTTGGCGCGAGCAAGTTTGGATGCATTCCCCATAGGCGCGGTTTCTACTTCTGCCACAAACTCATATCTCTAATTTAGGCTATGATGCCTTCGAGAGAGGCGAACGAGACGCTCTCGAAGTTAAATACCTGTTTGGTGTTATCATTTGCAGAATTAGACGGCTTTTGCTCGGGTTGTCTTGAATTTTTACGGAATTTGCATTTTTGAGCTTTCTGACCTTCAATACTCTCTTTACAGCATTTTTAAGAGGGTACAGACTGCGTATTATCCAACTACGGAGTATTCGCTTTGTACTAGCCAGTCACGAACCATTTCCCATCTCAAAACCGTGAGATCGTATCCGGAAATCCGAGGAGAAAAACCAAAAGCCGCAAAAATCCTCTCAAATCTAGGCAGTACCCTTCTTTTACCCTCCAAAAACCTGTGAAGACTTTCATAAACCTTGTGCTTGGATTGTATCGGCTTAGGTGTTTATGACTCGAATGCACGTCATTCAATAACATTTTCGTGTCTCTTTACCACTCATCGAACGAAACTAAAATGGTTAGAATGGGACATTTCTTAAAACGAATCTCGTGTTATCCTCATGACGCGAAAAACATTGACATGCTGTCATGATTCTATAAAACATACTTAAACAGCTTTCACCGCCTCTATCGCACTGCTTAGCGATTTAAGCCACCATAAACTTCCACATGGAGGCGAAACACACACACACATCTTCTTTCTAAGCTCGTGATCAATGCATCTTCTGGTTTCCATATGACCTGTTGAATTCGATTTCTTGAATTAGATGATGCAGCAAGCTCTTATCTTTCCCATGAGAAACATTTTTTCACGCTTTATTCTTTTGAACTATTCTTCATCAGATATTCTTCGCGAAACTCTTTCTTTCTCCCCTCCTTAAATTAGGTTGATCGTTGAACGCTCCAAACAATAGCTTATGAGAAAGCGACAGTTAAGAGAAAACAGAACAGTCGCCATGTTTGTTCGGAAGTCCTCTGAAAATCCTTTAAATAGGTTTCACATCCTCATATCAATTATGAAATATACTGGGCGTCCCAGAAACATTTCCATAGTGTTGGATCGTTGATAACTCTCTTGCTGCGATTTCTTTCTCCTCTTTAGGAACTCTCTCTCCTTTTTGAATTGGGTCCCAATATATGATGCTGGCCCGAACTTACAAGGGTACCGTGTCGAGTCGAAGTGGCCTTTCCAGATGAGACCCATATTGCTTTGAAGAGCATTAATCGGTGATTCTAAATCTGCTTTCCAAATCTGCCAAGCGCCTCTGGACGCCGAGTTATGCTCCTTTTTCAGGTCAAAAAATTGAAGGCAAAACTGAAGCAAAACCGCCCAAATTTGCTCAAATGGTCCAGTATCAAGTATCAGAGCTGTTTATGCAATGGATACATTTTATTTTAACATTTTATTTATCATGCTAATACTTAACATTGCTTTATCTGAGCGCTGGAAAGATTGTAACAATCAGTTTTACCTAAACTCTGCATTCATTTTTCGTTCCGAAGAACGGTCATAACTCGGCGTCCAGAGGCGCTTGGCAGATATGGAAGGCAGATTTGGAATCACCGCTTAATACTCTTCAAAACAGTGTGGGTCTCATCTGGAAAGGCCACTTCGACTCGACACGGTTTCCTTGTTAGATTCATGGTATAGAGCAAATCACTGCTCTCTCCTCATTACTATAGAATTACGGTAGGAACTCCCAACATACAGAGCGCCACTGCGAGAAAAAAATCTCAAAAATCAGAAAAGCAGAATGGCGTAGTTCGCATATGCTCATTTCACCGTACAACTCTTAACGATTTTCTCAAGCATTGTGACCTTCAATGGCTCAGTATTCTCTTTATGTATCCTACCGTAACTTTACAGTAATGAAGCAAGCGGTAATTCCCTTACGCTGTGAATCCGAGTTTGATTATCAACTGTCATACAGTAGGAACATTTTCTTGGGACACCCTGTATTAAGACGTAGCTTGATTTTTCAAGTTACGTTACATTTCACTGAAAAAACCTTCAACCTCCTCGAAGAACCTCATTTTCGAGTTACTTGGAGACTTGTAGCTGTACGATATAAAAATTTGCGCATGAAAAACAACGTTAGAATGTTTGGTTTTTCTCGGAAACTACATGATAAATCTTCCGCCTGCATTCTTGAAAAGATTCAATATCGAACATATCAGTGCCAATTCTATCAAAAACCATAACTAACCTAAGAAGATGAAATAACATTTAGAATGAGAAATTTTCTGAACAATATAGAAATGAATTCTATAGTACCTTTGCAGCATTGCCTTTATATTTACTTTAACTCACATCCTGAAGGGAATGCTCCTTTTCTAAAAGTCGAATGCGAGACTTTGGATTAAGACAAAGAAAATGGATATAACAAAGATATTCTAATATTATATATAAACAGATGCATCAATTTTTTTGACAGATGAATAAAAAATGTCTATATTTTGTCGATTATTGAAACTGAAGGCAAAGGCAGCATTTACACATATCAAAATTTTTGGATATTAATGGATTACGGTGGCAAGCAAATCGAATGTGCTATCATTAAATTAAGTCTAAAGAAAAAGCGCTTCTGAGAATATTGCGATATCTATTTTAGGAGTGCATTCATTATGTTGGAATTTGTACATTAGAAGCATATAGCGGAAATGTATGTATTCCGGGATAAGTAGAGGTTTAATTTTCTGAAAGTGAAAATGGTCATGCATTCATTACTTCTGATTAAGGAACTTCGGTAAAAACTCTTCAAACCCGCTCTCCATCTTCTCTCCATTCACTCGAATAAATTATTTCAGTTCCACTAACCAATGTTGACCATCTGCATCTGTTCAGCTTATACTCTTTATCTACTTCTGTCCAGAAATCACCCATGTTTGTTCAGCTAATTGCCCTCGAGGGTCCGAAGCGATAATCGGGTCTCATCTATGCTTTCTTTCGTCATCTCGCTCGCTTTTTGCCAAATACGTTACGTTAACAATAAATCTGCTTAACGACAAATTTCTTCGTCTTCAGGATGATTACGACAACCGAAGCGACTATACTGAATGCAACTCTTGTCATTGACGACCCGATGGAGAAGCTGAATTACCTAAAAGGAATTTATTCATGGCTTATTCCTATCATGATAATCATACTGGCGGTAAGTTTCATAGTTCCAAATCACTTTCTGTTGCTAGTAAAAATAAAGTTTTGCATTGCAACCAAGATAGTTGAAATGATTATGGATAATTATTGTGCTTTTTCAAAGCTCAATTTTCTTTTTGTTTCACCTGCCTTTTTCCTTAACATCAGGTACAACTTCTGCTGGATACAAGCTTGCTTTCCCTTGACTGCACTGAGCAAAGCAAGAAGTAATAATTTTGGAAAAAGGGACAAGCCTTGTCAGCTTTGAGAAAATGTGGTAGAAAATATTTTACTGGCTTGATCTATTCTAATGCTTAACGGTCAAACCCGTTTGTGATACTTCTACACTTTTTGCATCGGTTCACTTCGCACTGATTAAGTGTTGAACTGAAGCCACTTCGGAAAAGTGCCTGTGAAGCTTATCAACCTAATAATATCGTACCAAAACCCTAGAGTGGAGGAAGCTAGTTTCCAGTTCTTTGTACTGTGTTCGTCACTACTTTGCGCTCACTTTTAACTAGCCAGTGGCTAAAAGAAGATCTTGTTCACATTTACAAATCTTACTGTCTTAAATCTTATTCAAACTTATAATATTATTTGGTTTTCACCTCATTCTATCGCTATCCAAATCCCTTTTCTTTCAGCTGGCCATCATTGGCAACGGGCTCATTGTGGTGTCAGCTCCATTTTTGTCTTCGCCAGTCTCACCGTATCTCAAATTATGCATCAGTCTAGCCGCAGCCGACATGTGGGCTGCATCACTGCTCATCACAGGTAGTCGCTTTCTATTTTCAGTAATTCTCAGGGACAGAAATAAAGCTGACTTAGCCATTTATATTGCCAACTTGATTGTCATGACGGAATCGACAATCCGTTAGGTGTCATTTGGCCCTTTGCGTGACCAATTCAATAGCATGACTTTCGTTTTCAGAAATATCGCATGCATTAGACAATGTCTTCCAATTCCTACAAGAAGATTTTACGTTCAAAATAAAAAGTTACTTCCGCGTTTGCGTTTACCCGTTCTCAATGAGAACAGAAAGGAAGCAATTTTCACAGGCTCTTTGGCAAGGATGTACTCTAAACCGGGTATTTCCGACCTTACAACTAGCAGACTCTCTCACTTTCACCTAAAAAATGAGAATCATTCTGTCATGCTCACAGTCCAAAATGCAGTCGCTCTGACATCTGCAAAATGATAGGAGAAGAATTCCGAAGCAGTGATGACTCAAAAAAGGGAAATAAATTAACAGATGCTTTCTTGAAAACGATCAAGTTCTTTTTATCCGGAACATCTTGAAGTTTATGGTCAGATATACCGAGGACAAAACAGCGATCATGATGATTGATGAAGCAAGTCAAGCAAGAATGCTTGTCATTTATCGTGGTTTTTGTGTCTATGAGCAGACTCAGAATTCGACTGTATTGATGGTCTAACTAGAAAAGCCTTTTCCAGCATAGAGGCTAGCTCGATTACCGCAAATTGCAGTTTATCAAGCTCCGAAAGCATTATAGGATAAAGAAAGATTTTGAAGTTTAGTAGATGGTAAATGCTGTTGGCGATGGCAGAGATTGCAAATCATTTTTTGTGAATCATGACTTAATTGACACTAGTTTTAGCCATGACTGGATGAGATTGTAGAAGGAAATGCTTTGCCCACGCGAATATGGTCCTATATTAGGCAATTTTACCCATAGATAAGGCTGTTATTGAGCGGTACTACAAAAGTTGTTCCCAAGCTGTTCATACTCTGCTCACTAAGTATTTTGAACTTCGGTTTGCTGCAGTGTAGCTTAAGAGGATATTTCATGCGTCCATAGTTGCCGGGACCTTTGCCGTACCGAGACCACGTTGATTGACCACTAGATGGGCGTACCATCTAGTGATCAATCAACGTTCCGACACGGTTCTGGCACGGTCTCGGAACGGCCATGACATGGCGTTGGCACACTGTCAGTTTTTGACACTGTAAGAGGTGGAGGAAGTGTTGACTGTCACTGTTGTTAATTCCTGCTGTTGTTACCAAGGCATAGGGTAATAAATAACATTATATTATTAGGTTGGCTAGCAATCAATTTCGGTCGCTTCTGCGGCTCCCACATACGCTGCAGATGACTTTTTGCCCAGTTTTCGGTATATTTGGAAAGAGCACTTCTTGAGGATTGAAATTTAAAATCTGTTTGAGTAGAATTCAATTTCCAGTAAAAGAAATCCGCGAAGAAGTGAGAAAGCCTAGTTTTCTCATTGTACGCGAATATTTATTTGTTTTTATTTATTTATTCATGCACTCACAGATGCGCCAAAAATGTAAATAAAAATGAGAAGTACACTGTTGCTGGCTTACTGAATATGCGAAAATTGGTTTTTTTGGTCAGGAATTTTAAAAATGGCAGGTCATAATTTTTATTGCTATTCACCAAGTAGGGAGAACTTGTCCGTATTCGAACACCAAATTGCTGTTCTCTACATTCAGCAGAAAAATGAAACCTAGAAAGTGGCAGGATTGAGCTTTTGGAATTTTAGCACTGGAGCATAATTGTTCCTTACTGATAACTGAAAATCCTAAATAGCTGATATATGACAGAAGAAGCTTTATGCTACTTCCCCACAAAAATTTTTGGATAAAAAACAACTAAGAAAGTTTTAAGATTTTTATGCCAAAACAATTTTTTAGCCAACCTACTACTTCACATTCTAGGGCTTGTGGTGAATTCATACCTTCCGGTTGTGATAGGAGTGCGAAAGTCATCGAAATGTGTTGACGCTTGGTTGGAAATATTTCGGGTTTCCGGAATGCTCACCTCGGATATGCACTTATTCGCTTTGGCCATCAATCAGTTCTTTGGTACGATGTGGCCACTGAAATATAAGGTATGTTTTCCACCCATGTGCTCAATTATGTAACTAACAACAGTATTTGTAGGTGATGGTAACCACGAGGAGGATTCGTTGCATAGTTTTGGGGCTCTGGATGGTCCCACTCATTTTTGTTTTTGGATGGTTAGTTTCATAAATGACTTACTATCTTGTGACCCATATATACATTTTAGGTTCATTTCTCTGGAAAATGATGGATTACGTCACGAGAAATGTCATTTATCATTCTACAACCGTTTTCCTTTCCGAATTACTATATTCCTCATCTTCATAATACCACTCGTCGCCACCCTATTGATTTATTTTCTGATACTGTCGAAGCTTTTGAAAGCGAAAGCAGAGTTCGAGATGACAGTCACTGACAGGTGCGTCAAATTTACTTTTTTTTTGAAAGGATAAACACGGCAAAAACCATACAGAGTGTAAAGTCTGGACGGGAACAACCGCTTAGAAACTGTACGAAGTAAAGGGTTTAACGTTCTAACGAAGAATTCGTTCCGAATAATGAAGGTTTTCGGAACGAGTCCTGTCTGACGTCAAAACCTTCATAACCAAAATCATGCTTTTTAAAAAGCCAATTATAAAATCAGTTCCGAAATTTTTTGATCATGATTTATTGGAGCAGGGAGAATTCGAGAATTTGAATAGCAAGAAGCCTTGCATTGAGATTCTTTATGATACCCTAAAAACTTTGGAAAGGAACTGGAACTGGAAACTTTCTCTTATAACGCGCATATGAATAAACGGAATAAACGAAGTTTACATAGAAGCAAGAAGTAAACCACTTTCGCCCTTTGCACTGTGTAGCCTTTGGGATCAAGTAGAAAGAGAACCTTAAGTACCTTTAAGGGAAGGAAACTAACTTACAAGAAATGTGTCTTTGGTTGGCCTTTTCGGTCAGGCTTTATACCGTTTTGTAGAGTATTAATAAATCAAACTTGTCGTTGTTATCTGCTGCGCCCCCGTGCACGCCAAGTTATGAGTTTTTGCATCGAAAATTGAACGCCTAATCTGGACAAATTCAATCGTTACGGTCCCTCCTGCGCTCAAGGAAAGCAGTGACGAGGGTGGGAACATTAGTCACTGCATGAAATGCCCGAATACCTGCGCTGGCCCAACTGAGCGGATAGAATGACTTTTCTATAGTTGCGCGGTTAGAATAAGAAACGTTCATAACTCAGCGTCCAGGATTAGAAATGGCGTTCAGTACTCTTCAGGACTATATAGCTTCCAGAAAAAGTCTCTCCAACTGAGAATACTTTCCTTTTCGTTTAGCGTTTTGAAAAGGAATACATACAATCGTCTCATTCAAGCTTCAAACGCCTACTCTAAATTTGCTAATCTAGCTGCGATCCTTTTTAAAATTGTTAATTGCTTTTTTCTTTCAAAAATTGTACGCCCATGCACTTATTGTTGTTACAGTATCATCATCTATCAAGTAAAAACACTAACTCATTGATCCTCTATAGAAAGGCATGATTTGATCTCAGCTTGAAATGTTGAATTCAAATATGCTATATCTAGCTACTGAGCATAGTTCTGAAGCGCTATATTTTTTTATATGCGAGATTTGCGTGCGCATCGACTCACAGATATTACGGTATCATCATTTGAGTGCTGACGCACTTGCGTTGAGTTCTTTGTTAACTTTAATATACCAACACCTTGGGCAGTAGTTCATTGACAGGCTTTATTCCAAGGACGGGGGCCCACGCAAGGGGAAAAGCTCACAAATTTCTTCACAGTGATGCTTCGCAGCTTAATCCAGCAAGTTCGTTCGAAGCTAATTCCGAATATTTTCATCATTTTCAGAAGGCTATACTAAGTTGATAGTTTTTTCTTCTTAGCTGAATAGGGCCTTGAGTCACTCTTCAATTTTTTGTGAATGATTGTGGATTTTGGAATGGAACAAAATGAAATCTAGCTACTTCACTGAGTCACCTTTTTTCTCCACGTCGGACGACGGCCTTGACGTTGAACTGTCATTTTTGCTTTTATCAGTGCTCAACGTAGCAATTAAAAAACGTTTGACGTCTATTCGCTGTCTACTCACTTCGGAGGTCTCAAGGGCATTGTCGAGCACTTACAACTCTTTTCTGTAAACATTTATTGTAAAGCAATTGATGGGCACCGCAAAAGAGAGGGGGCTAAAACACCAAGGTGTGCTTTGAATTCGAGTTAGTGTTAAAGCACTACAAAAAATAAATGTTGATAAATGGCTATGTAGCCAGAGACGAGTCTTGAAATACCCGAAAAAGCGCTCAAAACGAATCACTCTCTTGTATATAAAACACTTGCTAATACCATGGATAGCATGATTCTGGTGTGATTCATGTTTTAGTGGCTAGCAAAAACTCAGAGTTTGAGCTCTGTGCGGTCCACATTAAAGGACCATTTAAATTTCTAACTTCATTTTTATCGGTTAAACAGACAACAGTAACACTATCAAAGACCTTCGTTAATTGGAATGAAGATTTATCACTCAAATTATAACTACCGTAGGTGATTTTTTTTTGAATACATATTGAGTTTTATTTTTGTGTAGAGTCCACTGGGGCACTTTTTTTTCATAAAAATCGTCACAAAGTCAACAGTCAATCAAATCAGCCCCATCTCGTGTAATCAAACGATTAGTGTATTATCTGAACAAAAAACTTTATAAAGCGCTGACGATTTTCTATGGAAAAACGGTATCGACTTTTTTGGTATAAGCAATTAAGGTGTGTGTTACTCCCGGGAGCGATGCTTGTTACTTGCGGAAGCTCCCGGAAGTGATGTCGAAAACACACTTGAAAAAGAGCAGACTTGTTGATTTTCCTGCACACATGACAAAGAAAAATCCCGGCATTTCAAAATAAACATCGGTTGATAAAGCTAAAGCACATGAAGCACGCACTTAACAGTATCTTGTTGAAAAAACGTGTACGAATTATGGAAAGATATGTATCATCAGATGCACATTCGCAAATGCATTCCATATGATTCCTGACTCTAATTTTTCACCAGACAATTTTTTTACGGATTATTCATTATCCGCTTCGAAACTGCAAAGGAAATACGGTCAAAGTGTGGTTTTCATTTGAAATGTACACTTTCTTATAGAGCATGGGACATGACTCTAAATCTGCTGTTGGTATCTGAAAAGCGCTTTTCTGAGAGGAATTGTTAATTTTTTTGAGGCAAAGTACGAGGAGTTGGCTAAGGTAAAAACAGGTGTTGAGGTCTATCCGGATCTTTGAAGAAACAGACTAGCATAGGTTTATTAGACAGAAGATGTTAACTGCATAAAGCAGTAATCATGACCCATTTGAGGTCATAGATTACGGTTCTGAATGATTCTATTGTGGCCGCGCGTTCAAATTTTTGCTTAAAAAATTCTCATAACTCCTTCCCAGGAGCACTTTACAATCAACAGATCTTGAATTAGCATTCTATGTTCTAAAAGGCATTCTACATCTCCTATGGAAACGTCACTTTGACAAAGTATCCTTGGCCATGAACAATTGGAAGGACAAGTCTGAGCTTGTTTTAATGGTGCGCAGAAAAGTGTTTTCAAATTTCCCAGGGCCAAAAATAAATGAGATATCATCTTCTCTATGACTAGGAGACTCGAGACCGCTTTGAGGACTTCGTCTAAACAAGGTAGAACTTATTTTCTAACTCCAAGTCGCAGATAATCCTAGATGAGATTCAGAAGTATAAACTTGATAGCTACACGATCGGGCTTGTTTAGACCATGTGTGCAAAGCGGTCTTTAGTCTTCTAGTCATAAAAGACATTATGAATCCAAATGAAAACGAGTCCTACCAATTATTGTTTTGGAAGTGCCAAAGAAGAGAATTTGCTTATTACAGGAGAACGACAACTACTACTCGACGTTCCAATGTGCACTCAAAACTGAAGCTTGTCTGGACTACGCTATTAATTGTGTCGACATTCTCGCTCAGCTGGGGTCTATGCGTGCTCTATTTCGTGCTTGTATGCGTTGAAGGATGCCCGTTTACGTACAATGTGAGCTTCACTCAAATTAACTTTTTATTCTTTTCTTTATTTAAATGAGCAACTAGTATATGACTCAGTAGGATTACTCTTGTGACTGTAATATATTATATATACATGGAAATGCTTACATTTAACGGCAGCTTTTTTAATTGCTTTTCAATTAAAGGCAGCTTTTCTTTCATTATTGAGCCAGTACATGGGTACATCTTCAAACTCTCCATCTATTTTACCGAATTTTCTCCTGCATTCCGTCTTTGCTTGTAGTGTGAAATTTTGAATACAAAAACATATTATACATTGTCGCAAGTCCTCTATCCTATTACTTACGTAAATGTGCGACTCTAGCTGTTGTAAGGCTAACCGCCCATTTGAATGTCTGTAAAATTTAGGTGAAATGTCTAAAAGATGGAAATGGGACGGAACTTTGTCAATTAACCCGATTTTGCCACATAAATCCTTGTGACTATTTTTTTGTACATAATTAATACTTGGTCGAGTTCAGTGTTACAAAACAAAAAACCTAAATTGAATCTCGTGAACTCGAGCAAATATACGCCACTGTGAGGGGTGACAAGAAGTCACAATTTTTTTTTCGAAGAGAAAGAAAAAGACCTCGGAGAGTAAGATGAAAAAGTCATTCAGTTCTCGCTATGAGGGGGCAGTAATTGCTGCAATTATATCTCACTGCTTTCAGGTATCCCTAAACTTCTACCTCGGCTTGTTCCTGAATTCAAGCGTCAATTGTTTGGTGAGTTTTTATTCTTCTCAGAGGTGCAAAAAATCGTGAAAGAAATAATGTGCACTTTTTGGTTCAAATAATTTGAAAGTAAGACGTGTGCCTTCATGAGGCCTGACTTTGGTTACCATAATCTCATAATCAGAGAGAGCAGATTTGGCGAATGTGTAATAGTTTTATAATTTTTTACGAGAACATAGTTGTTTCCAAGAGGGGTGCAAAAACGTGGCAAAAAAATTAACTGTGGAGATACCTGAGCAGGAAGACGAGAACGTCTTCTCGGTAAGATAAAAGTGTACAAAAGCAACGTCGAAATTCTTTTTTGATGCTAAAAAAGCGATCGTTTTTGCACAAGTTAGGGAATAGAAAATGCGTCAAAATTATTGACACTTCATGTTGGGCGTTTCCTCCATCATATAAATGATACTGGTGTTTCAGGTGATGCTGAAATTGGCATCAAACCCCTTCATCTACACGCTGCGAATCCGTGCGATCAGATCAAGTGTGGACACATTCTTGGCTGCGCTGTGTCATCGTAAAACATACCCGACAAAGAACAAAGGGACCAGCGTCGCCCTGCTCAGTAACCAAGAAAGTTCGGCAGGACCTGCATTGTAGCTCAATGACATCTACAAGGTTTTATGTCCACCCGCTGCTGTACTTTGTTATTTGTTACTGAAAATTGACATTTGAGTGGTCATCGTATTTGTCGTAACTGAGACAAACCAACGATCATCTGTGTGATATAGGCGCTGAAGCTGCTTGCTCTCATCCTCTTACGTGTATGTATACATCTCCCAGCCCCGCTACTTCTGATCTCTGACACTAATAATCCCTTTGTATCATTGTGCGTGCCTATCCCAGCACTAAAGCACTTTCGACGAATATTTATTTTGACGAACATGTAATTTAAAATAACGTTTTCTGTCAGTAATAAAGGTCTGCCATGAAAGATGTTTTGCTATTTAATACTAAAAGCATTGAAATCAGAGCAAAGTCGCCGTAACAGCTGAAATAACAAGTTTTAGCACTAGAGTTGTGGCATAACATGAAGCCTTGAATTAGCGGACTCGAACGTTGTGAGCTAAATAAGTATCAAGTCTATACTATATTTACTGATCAAGTGCCTAACCGAGTCATTCACGATTTCGTACCATAGAAATGCATTTATGATTTTGACGTGCAGCTCGTTAAAGACTGTGCTCCTAATCAGAACTACTGGGCTGCAGACCACTTGTTGTACTTATTTTTGCACGACCTAACACCGAAAAAAATTGATTTTAAAGAAAATAATCATCTTTTGAGATTTCCGCCTATGTCACTCATACGCAGCTCTAGAGCTGCGTTCTGGAATCTCCTCTTTGTTTCGCCATTCATATATCTTATTTGATTGTATTAGCTCATTCCATAAGTTCGTAGCATTTTCATTTTCGTCCTCACTTCTTTGGGGAGCGGTTGATATGTGGCAAAGTGCGTATATCATTAGAAAGGGCTGATTACATAAGCTCTTCATTATGTGCCTACTAATTTAAGTGGAATGCTGATCTACTCGGATCTCTTGGCTACAAGTATGGAAATCCTAAAAGGCAAAAAGGAGCAATTTCGGCATTCGCGCATTTTTTCTCACAAAAATAAGCGTTTTTGCACAGATTCCTGCCGCTTATGGAACATGTCGTTCGCCAATCACTATAAGAAGAAAAATGTTTGGATTACTACAAAAGACGAAGGGCTGGGCAGGTTGTCCCTAAACAAGACTTTTGGGGGATGGGCATGTTGACCTGCACTAAAAATTGCTGGACAAGAAGAAGACGGTCGACCATACCATATGCAAGCCAACTGCGACGTCTTGACGAGTTATACCGCAGAAAAAGCCAAAAAGACAAATTTAGTGAGTTTTTCTGCATGACGAAACGTGACCTCATACGACAAACGTCGTCAAAACTGTCCTGCAAGAAATGACTAGGAGGTACTTCAGTACCCAAAACACTCCTTAAACCTCACTCTATCAGATCATCATTTGTTCTGCTCTCTCGCTAACCTTATAAATGGTGCATGTTTCAATTTCAGTGAGTAATTTGAGCCTGGTTAGATGCCTTTCTTGGGACCCGGCGCGCTGCCGTTTGGAAAATTGAGATTGAAAAGCAGACAGGAATGTAGCAAAAGGTGTGCGCTACGTTGAAGAATACATTATTGGCTGATTTATGAAAATTGAGGATTTTGTTGGTCTATGAAAACGCTACGAATTTATGGAACGACCCAATATGTATTACATATCTTATGTAATTGTATTATAGTTCAGTTGAGGCCAGGAGGTAAGCTCTCCACTGTTCATGAAATTTATTATAGTTCGGAATTTGAGCAGAAACCATGGCTTGAGTAGGGTTAGTAGTAATAGACTCTCCGTTTGATACTGTGTGCTTGCGGTGCCAAGATTTTGCGGCCAAATTGGCGTGTGAACAACTGATTACACCGCCTGTAATGCCGACCACTCGCGAAGCAAAATACCGGCATTACTGGTGTGGCTATTTGTTCACACGCAAACTTTACTGCATTTGACCTGCAGTTCAGGAACTTTATATCAACGGAAACTCTATTCGAGTGTAGCTTGTCACGATTCCTTTACTTTTAAACAGATAAAAAACTATTCACAAGAAGTCCTGTAGTAGAAACTCAGAGAGCAGAATATGTACAGGGCTTATCAATCGTAGTGTCGGGTGCATCAGCATCTTGACTTTCTCGCGGGACTCTGCACCTCTTCCGCGAACATGCTTTCTGATATTATCCAATCGATTGAGGCTTCGCCTTTAGCCATCTCGCGGTGGGGAGGTGATCAGAGAGCATGTTCCCGAAAGAGGTGCAGAGTTCAGGCGAAGAGGCCATACTCGGGAGCGGAGTTGCTGGTGCTCCCGACACTGCAGTTGATAAGCCCTCTTTGCAGTGCATTTGCGAATGCACGTTTGGTTCTATTAGATTGTCAGAAAATTAATGCCCTTTGAATTTTAATCGCTATAGGTCATACACTTCCCATTTCTGAATAGGTCGCAAAGTACCATTCGATAGAAAACAAGCACTACAAGATGCCAATCTTGCTTTAGCAACAGCTCAGATATGCGTCGAGATTTAAGCCAAAAACTAAAAAGATTCAACTGCTTAAATAATCGCGATTAATCATAACTCATTTTATAAAAATCCTACAAAAATTCTAACTTGCTCACCTAACCCCTATCCACATCAGACATCTATATATGCCATTGCAGCATTTCGTCCTTTGTTAGAAATCAAGAGAACGGAAATTTTCGTGCATTTGCCAAAGTGGTGCTGTGCCATCCCCACATAAGTTGTTGTAGTAGGCTGATTCAAAAGTTCTGTCTGATTTTTCAATTGCCTTGTTTCAACGCAGCTGTTTTCATAGGGTATTGCACTTACGACATTGTCATAAACATCATTTACAAGTACTTGTCCTGCTCTTTCTAGTGCTCACTGATGCTTGGCGAATCATCTTCCTAGTTATGTAATTTCAAGCCCCGAAGCAAAGTTGCCAAAATGCAGTCATGCCCAAAAAAATTTTCACGAAGAGAACTTCCGCAGTATTCGTAAAACTAACTATATAATATTTTATAATGGTTGAGAATGTAATGGGCTAACATAAGCACACTTCCCTTCGACGTCGAGAATGTCGTACTTTTTCAGTTTTTTTAGAGATACAGTGCTGGCCATAGCTATAAAGCCACCCTAAAAATCAGTCTAACTTCCTCTCTCTCGCTCAAAATTGTCTAGAAAACCACTATTCTGTGTGCAAACTAACGTCATATGATTGACCAGAACGGCTTCCGATTTCATTGATTTTGGCCGGAGAAAAATTGAAAAATTTGAAAAAAGGGTTCTCAAGGCTGGTCACAGCTATAAAGCCACCTCTCATTTCCAATCAGTACTACGTTTTTTGAGGCTGAAATTTCTTGTACATATACAATATCAAAATATAAAGGATTTACCACACTTGGAAGCAGTCGCCTGTTCAAAAAGAAGATTCATCGTGCATTTTCCGCTTCAGAATGTATAAAAACTTATAATGTTTGGAAAAACTGCCTTTTCACCGAATTTTCTAGCATTTGTTTGAATCGAATGAAGGTCCTTGGCTTCGCCGAGCCTTTGCAATGAATGTGGTGAAGAGCGCAGTAGTCAACATGGCGTAGTCGCCGATATTGATAAACGAGCCCTAACCTCACCTCCAGGTAGACGAGTTTTCGAACCGCAGTAATTGAGTTCTAATGCCCGAAAAGCTCTGTCACGTGCTCACCACGTCGTCTGTACAACGATAGATTCGTGCCAGCTTGAACGTCATCGCAACTCTCAGGATTTTGGTTTCGCCTTAAACGCTTTTTTTTTTCAAAAATGAGTGGTGCACTCTGCCTGAACGTGACGCACTCTGACCTCTCAATCGAGCGGAAAACCGCTCAAAACTCCAAAATTCTAGTATTCCTGACAGTTTTGTAAGAGTTGACTTGAAGAGGAGTTCAAAGCAGTAAAATTTGAAGTCGCGTGAGATACACTGCGCACCACCGAACTGCAGGCAAAGCATTTTAAGTTCAATGCTGCAATTACGTCTTTGTAAAAAGTCTGACAGCTTCTGCATGAGTAGCTCACCATGCAAACAAGGTGTCAACTTCCAACCGAGAATTTTCGCGCGTAAGAAATCGAGATTCGCGTCCCAGAAGTGCGTTTAAACCTAGGTAAGATTGAGCTTCGTTCATCAATACCAGCGATTACGCCATGTTGACTCCTGCGCTTTTCACCATACTCATTGCAAAGGCTCGGCAAAGCCTAGGACCTTCATTTGAGTCAAACAAATGCTTGAGAATTCGGTGAAAAGGCAGTTTTTCCAGACATTATAACTTTTTATACATTTTGAAGCAGAAAATGCAGGATGGATCATCTTTTCGAAAAGGCGACTGCTTCCAAGTGTGGTAAATGTTTTATATTTTGATATTGTATATGTACAAGAAATTTCAGCCTCAAAAAACGTAGTACTGATTGGAAATGAGAGGTGGCTTTATAGCTGTGACCAGCCTTGAGAACCCTTTTTTCAAATTTTTCAATTTTTCTCCGGCCAAAATCAATGAAATCGGGAGCCGTTCTGGTCATTGATATGACGTTAGTTTGCACACAGAATAGTGGTTTTCTAGACAATTCTGAGCAAGAGAGAGCAAATTACACTGATTTTTAGGGTGGCTTTATAGCTATGGCCAGCACTGTAGAAGACAAACTCAGTTATTCGACAAGCGACAATAATATACATTTAGCGACAGGTAATGCTATTGCATGTGTTAGAGCAAAGCGAGAGCAAGCAGGAACCGTCGGCCAATTGGCTGTCTTCGTTTGCGCAGTAAAAAAAATCAAACATTAGAAAGTCGGCATATTTTCGCACGCGGAGAAGAACTCAAAAATGGGTGGTTTTCTTTTTTGATTTGCTCGCAAAAATTTCTATGCACCAATAATGACTCGAATTCTCCCTAGTCGCAAAAGGACCTCTGAAGTATAGGCTACTCGATGATAGCAGGCAATTATGTCTGCCCATCCTCATATGGAAGCATTAGTAGGTCAAACTGGACAGTTTCAAAGAAAACCTTGCAGAATTCTTTTGAATTTTCAAAATTTTTAATGAATTTTTTTTATTTTCTCTCTCGCTTGCCTTCCTTACGTGGCATACAGTGCTTTTGATAGCCATAGACTCGCTAAATACAACAAAATTCAATTTGTTTAACATTGTTAATTTTGAAAAAAGTTATGAGATTTCAGATGGAGAAATGCAAATCGGACAGAACTTTTAAATCAGCCTAGTACATAACAAACCTGTGTAAGTACAAACGTAAATTTCCAGCTCTTTACAAGCTTTGATTCTCGAGAAATCTGAATTTCAACTTGGCTCCCCTGACAAGGGAAAGCTTCGATATTTCTCGAGAAATGAAGCTTGTAGAGAGCTGAAAATTTACTTTTGTACTTCTACAGGTTTGCAGTATACAACTACTCATGCGGGGATGCACAGCACCACTTTGGCAAATGCACGAAAATTTCCGTTTTTTGATTACTAACAAAGGAAAAAATACGGCAATGGCATATATGGATATCTTATCTGGATAGGTTTTAGGTGAGCAAGTTGGAATTTCTGTAGAAATTTATGTACTGAGTTACGATTTTTCTTAATTTTTTGGGCAGTTGATTTTTTTTAATTTTTGGCTTAAATCTAGAGGCGGATCAGAGCTGTTGCTAAGGCAAGATTGCCATCTCGTAGAGCTTGCTTTGCTCTATCAAAACTTTGCGACCTATTTAGAAATGGGAAGTTTATGTCTTATAGCGATTGAAATTCAAAACGGGCATTAATTTTTGGACAACCTAATACTTTCCCTGATTCGTACACCCTTTCTCAATAAATTATTGTAAAGTGTGTGATTTGAGTGCTTTATTATCTGATTATGTGTATTTTTATATTACCAGGGGTCTGTTCGCTATATGTAAGAAGAAATCAACAAGTCTAGTCTTTTTCAAGCGTGTTTTCAAGCATCACTTCCGGGAACATAGCGCACTACTAATTCCTTATGAAACAGAAAATGGACACTATTTTTTTTTGAAAAATTGTCAGCGCTCTCTAAAACTTTTTGCTCCGATAATCCCCTGATACAGATACATACTTTCAGTATATGAACGATCGACCTCGAGGAATCCCTTTTTCATAGAGTTCATCCAGACGGAGAGATTAGGTGGCCAAACGAAGTAGTTGCTGGTACCTATCTGCCCTGTGAGAACTAAAGACTTTCTTACAACGTCCACATAGAGCTTTTTTCAGAAAACGAATTAAAAATAGAATCATTAGTGGTATGGAGAAAAGAGCAACGCAGAGAAAAGTAGAAAGGAAACTTCAAGTATGTTTGAAGGGAAAAAAACCTAACTTAATCTAGTTGGAAAGGGACACATTCCTCCCTCCCAAGCTTCAAACGTTTACAGTTTGCTATCCGTGCTCGGAAGCTTAATTAAAAAGTTGTTTGTTTTTTTTTTCACGAAATGCATGCTTATCGATGCATAGGTGTACAGCACGCAAAGACTGCGGACGTATCGGCGTCTCTTTGATGGAACGCTTTTTCGTTTCTCTTACCATCTGCTGCCTCTCCCATGCACGAACTGTTCTGGCCGCACAGTCTTTGCGTGTCATGAATCGTGTGTACTGATGCTACGGTATCATAATCTATTTAGAGAAGGTCCAATTATATTATACACTATCAGGCTGATATCAACGCACATTATGCATCAAAACCCCAATGACTTCAAACCTTCACCCGCGCGTCCAGTCATTTTCAACCCGGAGTAGGCGAAACATTTCAAGTGAAGCAGCGCGTCCGCACCGCCGCTGGCTTAGCAAGACAAATTAGATTGAGGAGACGCAGACTGCAAAGCGGCGCGAATCGTTGCGAAGCAGATCCCCGTCAGTCTAATTTCCGCCTAAACTGAATTGAAACTTACTATAACTTCTTCCAGAGCATCTCGCAGCATAGCTTGGGAATGCGGTCAAAGTGTGAAGTCATTAGGGTTTTCATGTGAAATGTGCAAAATTCCACATCTACCCTCCGTACCTGCTGCGGGTCTCTCTGGAAGAAGTCATGAGTGGTTAAAGGTGACAATCATTAGGGTTTCTTGGTCGTAATTGTCGCTTTACGCCGTAAGCAGCCCCAGTAGTGGTTACTCCGTGTGCCTTTGGATAGGTTAGGTTACTCACTTCATATGCTACTCACGTCATATTTATCGCTTTGTTGTTTTGTTTAGCCCTTCTAATGTTTTTCTTTTTTGTTTTTTTCAGGTAATGTTAGTTCTCGGCTGTTACAAATCACCAAGGCCGCAGACGCACTTCGCAATAAGATCAAGTAGGTGGATGAGGCATTCTCAAACCGTTAGACTTTACTACGGAGGCAGGTGATAATCCACAGTTCATTCTTAGTCACGAGAGTTCTTTGTTTTTGAAACTTACTCTTCCTGATCGTGCTGTCGCTCATCTTCATGCCCAGAGAAAAAAGGCCGACGAGTTTGCTCGTCAACAACCCGACGAGCACGGCGAGTATCCCATCCTTCAGCAGTACCAAAAGCACTGGGACGCCAGTAAACTAAACTGGAGTCTATAGAAGGTGCAGATCCTTCGAGTCATCATTCTTACAATTCTCAGTCTGCGGTTCATCGCGACTCTCCTTCACACCGGAGATGCCCCAATGCGGATAGGAGGAGTGAAGCGTTTACGCGCTGTCGCACCTCGTTGAGATCCGGGTATAGGTCAGTATCGTGCTCACTCTCCCCATCTAGCCGATAGAACAGAGCGTCAGTATCCTAATATCTGCTCCAAGACGAAGGCGGTCGCCCAAATAGGCTGAAAACATGCAAAGCTGCGGCGCGCGCGCAATTGTCAACCACAGGGCGCGCGCACGCTCGGTCAGCGGTCATTCACGCGAGCGTACGCGCGACCCGTGGTTGACAATTGCCCGCGCGCTGCGTGCGCGTCAGCCTTGCATGCTGTCAACCTATTTGGGCGACCGCCTTCATCATGGAGGAGATATTACTACCCTAAGCAAACGTTGTACAGTCCTAGAAAATCGCGACCTAGAACACCTAACATGCGATGTGCCTTCTGTCATGATTCTGGACATTTGCCAGGCAGTTGTAGAACTCATCCAGAAGTCAGGAAACTGGTAATTGATATCAGCACCTCTGCTGGCTATGTCTACAACCGGACCATTTTTATGTCGTTTTTGACGGGCCTTATTATCTTTATGGCAGGACGCAACATAGGGCACTTTGTTACGAAGTCTCATCTAAACCGCGATTACCTACTCTACCGCCTAGGTGACTTACTATCAGGACTCGCATAGAGCCCGTTCGCCTAGACGTGTACAATTCTACGATGAAAATGAATCTGCATCTTGCGGAGTACCCATTCTCAGCGCATCATCATCACGCAGTTGCCTCGAGATCACCATCGCAGTCGAGACGTTTGGTTTCCAACACACCGTCGAGGCGCACGTTATCATCGCGCAGGTCACCTACCCCTGTATCCGTAGTACACAGCATCGACTGTACTACGGATACAGGGGTAGGTGAGACGAGACGCCTTCTACTACCATTGAAGAGCAAGCAGATATGCCGGAAAGCTCTCGCGACTGTGCAGGAGCTATCCTCTTGTACTTCCGTTTGCTACGATCAATCGACACCTCAAGAGCCTCGTTTAATGATAGTCCACGCTGTCACGAAGAATTCTAAGACCAATACGCGGATGAACTGCTCACAGTTTTCATAGATAGCGGTTCTCAATATGGGTTTATTTGCACCGCACTGGCCAAACATCTGGGCCTGAGTTTTAGGAATACAAGAGCGGTCACGACTCTAACCAGAAGACACCAACTTGCGGAAGAATCGTCAGAGGTTACCCTCACATTTACAATTGTCCAGTACAATTGTCCACTTCAACTCGAGCTGTGGACGTGCGAGAAGATTTCAACGATCCCAATAATCAACAACTGCAATGATAATACCACCGTAAATACTAGAGACAGAGTGAACGCTGACGTGCTTATTGGAATAGATGACTACTGGCGTATCGTGGATTTGCACAGGATTGAGAAACTTCCATCAGGACCCATCCTGTCGCACACTAGGTTCGGGCTAGTTTTATCCGGTTTGCAGCGTTCCACATTTTCCAATAGCCTTTCAGCTACCACTACCTCGGATAAGGATGAGCCAGAGAGCGAGCAATCTATGCGTGCCTTTCTCGAACTCATACACTGGAATTGGAGAAGGCGAAGACATGGAGTATGCCGGAGCCATTAGGCAGTCTTATGACACGGTTGCCATTGTTGACGGTAGCATTTATGTTTCTTTCTCATGGAAGTCGCACCATCCTCTCCTTGCGGATAACAAAGTTTTGCCTTTCGTCGACTACAGAGTCAGTACGAGTTTCGCGCGATTCCATCAGCCTGGATAGACTGTAGGAAATTTGACGAGCAGTTATGAAGTGATATAAACGAGGATTCACAAATGCTTCTGTTCAAGGGCCTAACATCTATTATATTCCGCATCAAGCCGTTTACAAAAAGGATTGTTCCACCACCGAGTTGAGGATCGTCTTTGACGCGTCTAGTCACCAAAAAGGCTGTTCAAGCCTTAAAGGCAGTGTCCGGGCAAAAACTCGATTTCTAGGAAATCCACTTACCGGGGATTATCCGCAACGCTGAATCCGAGAATCCACATTGGAAGCAGCGAAAACGGCGGGAACATACGTTTTCCAAAGCCGCACAATTTGAAATTCGACGGTCCCCACCAAGGCGACGCAGAGTCGCTACCCCACATTTCAACTGTGGCGGCATGCATACTGTACTCTGTCGCATAGCAGAAACTCGTACAGCTTGAACGACTTCGCCCCAAGGCGTAAGTTTCCCCACTTTCCTGTCGTTTTTCTTGCTATAGGTCTGCGTTATGACGTCGTAGTTGCGCAGTGTTGTGTCTGAGGGGAGCCACTCTCGCATGGAACTGAAATCCCAACCCCCATTTTGGCCGAACACTACCTTTAACGACTGCCTACATCAGGGACCTTCCTTAGTGCCAGATCAAGTAGAAACTTTGATGCGAAGTCGTTTTCACGGTTATCTTATTATCGCGGATGTGGATAAAGCGTTTTATCAGATCCACCTCCATCAGGATCAAAGAGTTTGCACTAGATTCCTTTGGCTAAAGGACGTCCGTCAAGAGCCATCAGCGGACGATCTCCGAGTATTACGCTTCGCGTGTCCTTTGACATAAACACATCGCCATTCCTACTTAGTATGTCTTTCAGGTACTTCTTAGAACAGGATCCAGCGAATTGTTTCAAAGAAAAGATTCTTGCCAATATGTTGATAATGGGTAGTTGGAGCAGGTTTCACCGAAGAATGTTCAAATAAGTGCAAACAATGCGAGTATATCTCTCCCAGGATGTGCAAAAACCTTCGTGAGTTCGTGTCTAATGATTAGAGCACAATGCTGTCGATCCCCGAACATGACCATATGAATATAGGCTTTCGTTGAACTCCTAAGAGTCAAGTGGAATCCTACGCTAGATGTACTTTATGTGCCCATCAATATCGCGCATCATTCAATAACGAGCAAAAGGACAGCACTTCAAGCCTATGCATCCACGTTTAATCCCTAGGATTCCTAACACTGCTACTCACAAGACCTAAGATGTTTATCCAGGACTTTTAGAGATTGGTTATGGCTGGGATGACCACTTTGCTGGTAAAGATGTCCAAGTGGAATACGATCGTGCAGGATATAAGCGGATTTCACTCGCAGGTGCCACGCTATCTTGCATCCACTCATGGCGACGTTTATGACTTGATTTTTTGTTCAGACGCGTCTAAACGTGCCTATGCTACCACCGTCTACATCTACATTCTGACACGTCATTCAGACGGCAAACCGCAGTCCACTTTGCTATTTGCCAAAGCAAAGCTAGCCCCGAGATTTATCGCTGGTCTCTGGAGAGCAGACTACCCTCAACAACAAGAAGATGTAAAATTCATCACTTATGGCTGCTATCACGTGCTCCCAGCAGTACCCAATCTTTGACAGAAAAACTTCAGCCAGCGAACAAATTTGACTGCATTTGGGATTACTCAAACTACTTCATCATGAAGGCAAATGAATAAGTTAGGTCCTCAAACGATTGCACTCTGTGCATTATGAAATAATAGATTGATGAAATGCATCAACACAACATTGTCAGGCTCCCCAGTTTTTTCTCATTCCGAATGTTGTCATTTATAACTCATTGCTATAAGCCAGTAGTCAGTCTCTAATCACTACTATTCACTCTATAACAAGTCCACTTCAGTACACTGTCTCTCCCACAATATGGTACTGCTAGATCATGTGGGCATTATAATAGGCCCCCAGAGGGAGGAGAGAAGCAGTAACTTCTCGTAGTTCAAAAATTAAACTTTCTCTCCTTGCTTCCTTCCTCAACCATTGACTTTATAGAGAGGTCCTAACATCAAGTATGCAACGCTGAGAAGATTCATGAAAAGGTGCCGTGCACCCCCAAAAACTAGAAAGCCCTATTTCCCCTCCTTTACGAAAGTTTTTGTTTGCCTTCGGTATACACCCTCTCAAAACATTGCTACAGCCTTCTTGTAGTCAAGACCCCTTGAATACGAGTCTCGCCTTCACGGAAGACCAAAATACTCCACGAAGATCCATATCTAGGGTGGAATCTTAGTGAGAGGGACAACGGATCTGGCTGTACTATAAGGTACCACGAGAATCAAGAGTCCTGCCTACTGCAGGATCTTGGAGACTAGTTACCTTCGTTTTGTCAACTCTACAATTTTTGGACTGTGAATTGCCTCTAACGATTCTTTTATTCATAAAACTAATCTAGGTTACTTTAGATTGGTGCACGATAATGCACCAGCACATACGAGCGTGTTCAAAAAGAAGAAGCTGGACGAATGGAAAACCAGTATTGCCAATGGCCCCCTAAATCTCCAGACTTGAATCCTATTGAACTTCTACCTGTGCCATTACATCCCGCGCATGGAGCTTTTGGCTTGTAAAATGGCAGCCAAGACGGTAAGTTCCTTAGAAAGCAATGTAAAGCCAGCTTCCAGACGATCAGATCCTTCACCGACTTCCAAATGGTTCATTGTTGGATACAATCGTGCAAGCCGCTCAAAACCTGCATCGCGAATCGCGTTAAGTATATCGCGGGCTCGAAGAGCTGAGAGCGGACAAGATCGCTACCGGTCTCTACTACCTGAATACGGAAAACAACCCGGCGGACTGTGCCACCCGAGGACTAACAGCGCAAGAACTTCAGAATCATATGTGGTGGACCGGTCCAAGCTTTCTTATGACTCTTTTTGAGCAGTGACCTTGGAGCACACTTGAGCCACCAGCTACTTCCACCAAGTGCAGAAGTAGAAGAACTTCATTCAAAAGTGGTCACGACATCAACGAACACAATTTTGGAGCCCTATAAATCCTTTGTGCCCTTTGAGCGCACTAACTCGTATGCCAAGCTAGTCCTCATTACTGCCTTCGTCTTTGAGTACCTGGCCAAATTGCGCACTCTAGTTGCAAAGCACCATCATTTCCAGAACCAGAACGCACGACCGCTTATTGACACCACCCTATTGGCACCGGCTCCATGGATACGACAACTACAGTAATGCCAGACGACTTTAAGGCAGCTGAATTAACGCTCGTACGCGAGCATTACAAGGGAAGCCAGCAGCAACTGGATAGTCGCTATATGAAGAAGTTCTGTACGAGAAGAGAAGATGATGATACCATCAAAGTCGAATGGCGCATGTTAAATGCGCAGACAAGAAACCCCAAAATCTGTAATTATACTATCAGATAATTCGCTGCCACATGTTAATCATGCATTACCACCATCAGCTGTTCAATGCTGGACCGTCTCATGCACGCAGCGGATTTTCCATCTAGAGGACAGGACGTCCATTCCAGAACAATAGCTTGGACTATTTAGGACCCATTCTTGTTCGCCTATAGTTATCTGAAAGCCACAAAGTGTGGGTTTGCCTCTTCACATGCATGTCAACGCGAGCAATTTATCTGAAGGCAGGAGAAAACTCCACGCTTCAGTTTATTTTAGCTTTTAGGAGGTTAATGGCGCGCAGAGAAAGACCAGACACCGTCATATGCGACAATGCGCCCACCTGCAAGCTAGGACAGCAGCTCATCAAGAATGAGTTACCAGCCATGACGGACTACAGCCAAAGGGATTACTTTCTTGCCAGCAACAACATCAACTGGAACTTATAACCCCGTACTCGCTTTGGAAAAGAGAGTTCTATGAAGGATTGGTTGGATCGGTCAAGACCGCGCTTAAGAAGATGGCATGGAATCAAGGAATCAAACACTGGATCCTTGGTTTCTCGAAACCCTCCTTATCGAAATAGAAGCCATCCTGAACACCAGGGCTCTTTTTCCGGTGAACTCTCAAGATCCTTGATACGAATGGCCATAAGACCTATCGATCTGATAACTCCTACCTTTCAAGTGGCCCGCTTGACTTGTAGCGTACCTCAGAAGATCAGTAGCACGTCGAGCGACAGTTATCGAACACTTCGCGCGTACTACGAAACGCTGCAGGAAGATCTAGACCATTTTTGGCGGCTGGCAGACTGAGCATCTAGATGCACTGACCCAGAGGTAAGTTAAGCATGCGAATGGTCAGTCCAGCAAGACATTGAACTGCGCAGGAGAAGTAGTGCTCGTCAGTCAGGACGCGCACAGATCAACATGGCCACTAGCACTCATCCTGGATTTAATTACGTCAGCAGATGACAATATAAGATCAGCCACCGGACGGCCAAAAGAACGGTCGTGGAACGCTCAGTCAACCAGTTGTTGCCCCTGGAAACAGTGACGTATGGAGAATCTATCGTAGAACGAGATTACGAACTTCATCTTGCAGTAAAAGATGGCCTTCAAGGGACATCAAAGGATTGACTCGATTTTTTCGTCTAATCCCATTTTCAGACAGTGTTGGGTCCCGACGCGAAATTACCATGACGGAGTGAAGCGCGCTCGTCGGCTTAGCCATTCGATCGGCGCCCACGAGTTACGAAATATTATTGATTTCGCACGCTCTACCACCGCTCTATCATTGTTTTTGTAGTTTTATCTATCTTCCTGTATAATCTAGTTATTTCCTCGTTCTACCTTCTGCTTGTTCCTCGTCCGCCATGTAGATGTACTTTTTACCTTGTATCTTCCTTACTCTGAGTTGTTTAGTTTCGTTATTTGACTGTCACTCTTGCCAGTAAAGTACACGTGGAGAGCAAGACCCGAGTTGTTTTGGACCTGTGAGAAAACAACTCAAGAAATTTGCTAAAGTCTTTGTTTTTCATTCTCTTGTTTCATTGGGGCTTGTTAGATCGCGCACCCATTTTTGCGTCCCTTCCAAAATTAGTGCGCATATTTTGGTAATTCAAACCAGTTTTCAATTCTTTGATTTCGAATCCATTCTGCTGGTTTCTGATGTATTCTTTCAACTGGTCAGCGCATTCTTTCTCCAGTTGCGCCGTTTCTTTCGCCGCACCGGTATGGAAAGCAAGTCATCCGCGTCGCGCTCGCAGTCGCCTAGCGCTCCACCATCTGCGCAGCGCGAAGAGCAGCTTCCGGTGCCAGTAGTATGAGACTTGGATTCCCCGGTTGTGACCTCAGCTACCGCGCAAGTCGCGTCTACTCCCCCCCGTCCGGAATATCCTCGAAGTATTGCAGACTCCCTCCTCTGTCGCCCGCGAATCAATCCCAGTCGCAGTCTACTTCGCGCCAGCCAACTTCGGCCCCGCGGGAAAGTGAACCGATGTCCACTCAGCGACCTGAGTCGGTGTGCGTCGTTCGTTTAGAGGGAGACACCTCCATCTGTCTCCATGTGTTTCCTGCAGCTGTGATAGGCGCTTTAGTACCGAATGCAACGCTGCGAAGAGGATGACAGCGAGAGTGGAAATTGCGCTGGAGAGAAACAATTGTTTCTGATGAAACACTTCGGAGAGTATAAAAGAAGACTGGTGCAATAAGCAGCGGCGAAGACACCTCCGCTCCTTCTGCAAGAGGAACAACGACATTGTGCACGAGGGTATATATGAAAAGGTATTGGGGCAGGGTATTATCAAGGTTATCATCTGGATATGGACTATTCACTTTTTGAATCTTAACTGCGGGAGTCCCTGCCATGTATGGAAGAAAGGGCTAATGGAAGGCGCGTTTGTCTAGTGACAAACAACGTGCTTTACCACACACGCCAGCTAAAAAAAGTGCCACTACTTTACTCACGAAAGTGCAATTATGTGAACATCTTGCGACGAAGGGCATAGCAGTCGATATGAGGGACAAAAGCTACACCGCTAAAGAAGGTAAATTGGTTTAAATTCTGTTATAAAGTATGTAATTGTTGAAATTCAGCTTGGGAGATACTTGCAGTCAAGAGGGGATATTCTAGGCTCCTCAGGTATGCTGCGGAGCAGATATGCAATGAGATTGGACGGATTTGTTGATACTTCTTCCCTTTCATTGCTTCTTTAACCCTATAGAACACTGTTGGAGTCAGCTGAAAGGATCTTTGAGGAAACATGGTAGGATAAGCGATAATATTAGGTTGTCCCGAAAGTTTTGTCGATTTTTTCAAACCACTGTGAAACCACGCACAATAAAGACCTGAGTGAGTTTCAACACGCATTCGATGCAGCTTTTTATTCTCTTTCTTATGAATACAAATTCATACCACAATCTTGTATGCTTTTTTTGATAATTGCCAAAATTCTCCACCTGTCAATTTTAGCTGCTCAAAGTTGAGCTGATTTTTAAAAATTTCATTACAAAGTTTCGAAAAAGACTAAGTATGGATCAAATAGAGCAACTCTCGGGCTACAAGGTGGTATTTTTAGATTCTCCTAATATGCTGTTTCTAACTTCAAAAAATTATTTCTCCGGAGGCCTTGGTTTTTAGCAAAGTCATGAAACGCGCAATTGCAGCAAAAGCATGAAAGCTTTTAAAGCTTCAAACTTGTTTGTTATTAAACATCATTTATGCAACA